TGTTAGACACATTGGTGATTGACACTAGGCCAAGCGGGAGATTGTTAGTATATATGTCATAGTGACAATCACTTTTTAGAGATATATGTACTTGATCACATTCAGTTTTATATATTTGATATATACGGTATTACACATTGATGATTAAGTATTTCAATTGTCAATATATTATTCATAATTGTGTTCTCTCGGACATATGTTGTCAATAAGTAAGTTGGAGCTTATATGATATAACATAAGGTCCTAAAATAGCCTCAATCAATGATCATCAAGAATGGGATATTGATGATATGCGATAAGATTGAGATGTGGACTGCATCATACTTTTAGAAAGTATAGTTGATCACACAACTATGAGGTCCTGTAATTCATGATGGTCACATAGATATTTTAGAGAATATTGGCATACCCACCGAGAAACCATTTGATAAATTCTATTCGCGTGTCTATGGGATTATTGGCGTATAGAGTAGTGTAATAGTTTTCGACTTGAGGTCTATACGTACTACATGTGCGGAGTGATGTACTTTGACCATGACCAATGCTTTCACTCCAATCAGGGTAGATACGGCATGTGTTGGGTGCATCACGAAACACATGGAGTCGTAGTTGAGCCAAGAAAGGATTCATTCCTCGTAATAAATTAGGAGAGAACATTCTACTTCTCATATCTAGATGGATCATAAAGTCATTGGCCAATGCAAAGATATATTCGTTTTGGATATCGAATATGATCGTTATGGATCGTCTAGAAAGATTGAGAGACAGAAACTAAGTTATTGGAATAGACACAATATCATGTTCTAGACTTTGTTGAATGTTCGTTGAATGAAAAGACCGTATCACTATGAGCTCTATATTACAGGGAGTTTGAATGGTTCTCGCAAACGTCCTTATATATTAAGTTTGTCTGGTAAATTGTCTAGGGATTCTACTAAGATCTTAATTTGATTAATGCTTAATATATAAGGCCCTATGGGTCACACAAGAAGTGATTATACCTTCCGATTGAATTGTTAGAAGGAATTAAATATTATTAATTGGATGAAATAATATTTAATTAGTAATACTGAAAATGGATTAAATGTTAATTAGATTAAACATATTTAATTCATGAAGTTGAAGGAGAATTCTATTTGATAGAATTAATTAAGTGTGATAAATTATATTTATTATACTTTATTAAGATGTATTTTTAATTATATGAGGTTGGTATTTTTCTTTATAGTTTAGAATTAAAAAGAAAATAGAAAATAAAACAAAATGATCATGAGTGGAAGTGGTGTATGTACGTACATCCACTTACTCTTATTGTGAGTTAGTTTTATTTTATTTAATTAATTCACTCGTTAATAATGAGTATTAGTCCTATTAGGACTAGAGCTCATTAATGAGAAAGACTTTCATTGTGATTGAGAAACTAGTTTAGAACTAGTATAAATGCCTCCTCCTCCTTCATAATTTTGAGATCAGTTTTCAGATTCAGTATTATCAGTTTATTTCCCTGCCAAGAGATTTCCTAGTCTTTCTTTTAGGGAGATCTAATTGTTCTTTTGGAAAGGAAAATCATGTGGATATCTAAGATCAAGGATTATCACCGCTAGGCTGGAAGATCTGTGCGTTCTAACTCGGATCTGTTATTTTGTTATATTCGTTGTTTTGTCATAATCAGGGAAGATCTGTTTGGAAAAATTTTAAATTCCGTTGATGTACTTTCGAGGTACATTACATCAATTTCCTAACACCCTTACCTTATTTACCTTAAGATATTCACGACTTTCCTCTCTTTCTTTCTTGAAGTCCACCGCTAGTTCATCCAAAGATGGTAGCAACTAGAAATTTGTTGAATTATCCAGAGAAACTCTTGACAAATTGCAAATTGGAAGCATGATAAATCACCACTTGATTAATTCAAACATCTACTCTCACGAATTGCAATAAATGAAAGGAAATCTCATGTGCCTGTGGGTTTCTCACAGGACTGTACAATTAACAATTCCATGGATGATGTTGTTAATTTCAATTCTTGTACTTAGGAGTGGTTTATTGGGTGTTAGGGGTAGAATTAATTAATCCTAATTGCTGCACGAAGTTGTTTATGTGCCAAACTGTCCAAAAATTGATATTTGTTGCATGCTGCCCGTGGTTATTAAAGTGAATACTTTATAGTCCGGGTTGGATTATTTTGTGTCAAATTTGTTTGTTTAGCTTTGTGTTGTTTTGTGGTTGATACCATGGCTGCTAATCAGTATGGTATGCTTCCATTTAATGGAAAAAATAGATTTTGATATTTGGAAACAGAAAATTAAGTGTGTTTTAATACAAGAAAAGGTTTTCAGAGCTGTCACTGGTATTTTCCTTGAATCAGAAGATAAGGCTAAGCAAAGTGAAATGAATGAAACTGCTTGCTCTACTATTTACTTGAATCTATCTGATTATGTGCTTAGGAAAGTGGATATTATTGAATCCGCTAAGGCTTTGTGAGAGAAATTGGATAGTCTCGATTTTGATACCTCTTTGCCCGGGAAGTTGTTTTTACTAGAGAAATTCTTTAGGTTTAGGCTTGACCTGACTAAGGATATAGATGAGAACCTGGATGTATTTAATAAACTGATACAGAATATCAAACAGGCAGGTGATAAACACATATCTAAGCAAAATAGTCAAAGTAAGAACCCTAGTCAGCCTGGGAGAAAGAGGAACAAATCTAGGAAGAGAGTGTGTTACAATTGTGGTAACGCTGGCCATTTCATTAAGGATTGTCCTAACCCTAAGAAGACCGAGCATGCAAGTGTAGCTGTTGATAGATGTGACCTTGGTGACATTTTGATGGTTTGTGACCATGTTAATTCTGTGAGAAATTCCCTGTCTGAGCATGAATGGTTGATTGACTCTGGTTGTACCTATCACATTTCCCCTTTAAAGATTTGTTTTCTTCATATGAATTATGTGATAATGGCTATGTTTTCGTAGCTGATAATAAGAGATGCAATGTGCTTGGTGTTGGTGATATATGTCTGAAGTTTTCTTGTGACTCTGTGTTTATCATTAAGAATGTGAGGCATGTCCCTGATTTGTGTCATAACTTGTTATCTGTTGCTGCTTTGGAGAGTAGTGGTCTACAGGGAAAGTGGGGGAATGGTTGCATGAAAATCTTGAAAAATTCTCTTGTGTTGTTTAAAGCTGAGAAGGTGAATAACCTTTATGTGTGTCATGCTAAACCTTTTGTTGATTCTGTGAATGTTGTATGTTCTGATAAGACCTCTGTAACATCCCCATTTTTTCCACCCAGATAAAATCACATTTTTAAATGAAACCATCTTTATTACTAAACATATTTAGAATACAGCGGAAGTCTTTAAGAGAAAAACAGGTGCATCACCGCCACACTCAACCTATACATGATTGAGTGCACAGGCTATCCACCATAAGTTCAAATAACAATGAAATGGGTCTTAGGACAAAGTTTATGAATTACAAATTTAAACAACGATAATTAATAAACGTGTGCAACTAGCGGAACACTCGGGCAGCAAGTACATCAATCTTCATAATCATAATCATCTGTACAATAGAGCAAAAAGAAGAAGACAAAAGAGACAAAAATTAGCTTTAGAGCTAAGTAAGATTCCACCTGAACCCGTAAAATAATATAATTTGGAAAATAGGTTTGGTATATGTATATATATAGAAAATACCCTCTCATATCTCCAAAATAACTTCATGCCTCAAAATAATTTCTTCAATAGATAATGTCATTCCTCAATTCCTCCAAAAGTAATACTTTAGATTTCTTTTCAGAGTGGGCGAAACTCAAGATTCCTCGAGCCCAACGAGTCGTTGTTATTTACGACTCATCCCGGAATTCCGGCTCCCATCGACCACCAATTTGGAAGCTGAATTTCTACCTTAAGTGTGCACACCCTCTAAAAGGGATTCCAAGCCCTCCGAGTAGTAAGAAACTCAAGTAGGCAGGATGTTTTCTACCACCTACTCACAAGGGAAATTGTCCAGGGGTAAATTAGGTAACTACTACTACAACCACCAAAGGACCTTTGGTCCTCAAATAAAAGCCCGGGATGTCTACCGGAGCATGTCATTGCCAGACTGGTTACCGACCCAAATAAATTTCACCAAAAGTAGTAGTAGTCCTAATCACCCACGCCTCGTGTTTCTCTCGAGACGTAAAAATATATTATGAAAAACTTTAAGTTTTTCCCAAATTCATTCTTGTCACACTTTCCAAAAATATACTTTGTAATAAATATCAATCCACCAATATTCTTTAATAAAAAGAATATACATTTAATAATCCATAATAAATAATAATCCACCAATATCCATACATTCAAAATATTCATTCCATTTAAAACAATTAGTTTCCAATTCATAAATAGTTCACATAGTTCAGATATTGCATACATATAAATACGAGATAAAACATTTGTGGTTGACATAGAACTTACCTTAGATTGCGATAATCCCCTTAATAAAATCTCTAGCTTTGGTCTTCACTTGAATCCTCCTTCTAATATATATCAAAATTCTAAATCAATAACGACTCTATTATTTTTGTTATTTCCTATCTATCCAACCTTTAATTATTTTAATTTCATAATTCCTTCTTTAAATATAACTATTAAGTTATATTCATAAACCTTATTTAAAATGTTAATTTCCAGTCCAATTTTATTATTTTCTTTAATCATACTAATCCCTCCATAATTTATTTTAATTTATTTGATTAATTAGTTAACTAGTCTAATTATATTAACTACATAATAATTTAGTTATTTCAAATTTAAATAATCAATTTCAGTTCAAAATTCAGTTTACATAATTTATATAATTTATTTAATAAACCTTTTAATAATAATTTGACGTAAGCAATAATTCAAAATAATAATTATTAATTATATTCTAATCTCAATAACAACTTTAATTAGTTCAATAGTTTATTTATACTAACTAACTCAATTAAATTAACTAATTCAATCCTCCAGTTTTATTTATTTGATTAACTAATTTAATTGAATCAACTTCATCAACTAAATAAGTTTAATTATATCAATATAGCTAAATACATTAATCTAATTAAGGCCAATAATCAAATTCTAATTTCGTTTTAATTTTCTATTTTTAATATAAAGTCCAAAAATATTACCACGTCCATAATTTAACTAATTTATCCATTAAACTAATTGATTTAGTTAAACTAGTCCAATGAAGTCAATTAACTAAATTATTAAGTACACATTACTTAATTAATTTGTTTATATTAATCAACTAATTTTTAGGAGTTCAAATAGTTTAATAATTTATATGGAGTCCAAATCAATAATAATCAAGTATAATAATAATTAATTTAATCACACTAATTTAATTAGTCCACTAATTCAATAATTTATTTATTAAGTCCAAATATAGTCATTCATTTATGTTAGCTATCCCAACTTTACTTTTTTTTCTTATTTTATTCCAAACCTCATTTTAGTCCAGAATATTATTTCCCATCTTAGTGATTTTATTTATTTCACCATTATTATTCAAATTTTCTTATTTAATTACTTAACTAGTTTTATATGGCCCAATTAAATTAAATAGCTTAAGATTCGACTTTATAAATTTATAACCGTACATAAATAAATTTTGGATCTATATTTGACCTAGGTTGTCCAGATATTTATTTTAAAATTATTTCCCTTATTTATTCATTTAATTTCATATATCTATTAACCGGTTTAATTACAATTAAATATACTAATCATAATTTTTATTAAATATAAATGTCCTAGTTAGTCATATATTTATTCTAGTTTAATCCAATAATTATTTCATAATTTATTTCGTCGTTTAGTTAATTATTTACTAAATATGTACAAATTGGCCTAATTACAATTAAATCAATTAAAAATAGTTAAAAATATTATTTTTCAATTCTGGTTGGTCCAAATATGTATAATTATACTAGGTATTTAATTTATATTTTACCAGATTTTATTTATTTCATTTACTATTTTATTTTTAATTTTTATTGCAAATGGGCTGAACCGGCCCAAATACGCGACCCGGTCCAAGAAGACTGGGTTGTCTTCTTCCCAGCTCTTCTCCAGGTCGCGATTCCGGTGACCGGAATTACGAAAACTTCGGCGAGCGATAACTTTACTTACAGGTAACGGTTTTCGACGATTCAAGTTGAAAAATGATCCTAACGTCGAGACGAAGCTCCTCCACCCCTATCTACGGCCAAATTTCCGCTTTTGCTGAAGACCCGTTTGCACGGCTTGACACTCCGACGACGTCTAAGCAACTCCGGTGACTACGAATCGGTCTAAAATTTATTGGGAAGTAGTCCTAGACCTCTCACGACCCTCCTCTATCGTTTTTACGAAGTTTGATACGTAAAATAATATAGATATAAATTTTCCGGCGAGATTATGTATATATATGTATATGTATAAATAGCTTCTATCTCTCCGATTTGTAGTGTTTTGATGGCTAAGAGGGTGTATTTATAGGTCTAGATGGTCTTTATGGTTTATTTTATTTATTTGATAATTGTATGAATAATAATAATAATAATAATAATTATTATTATTATTATTATTATAATTATAATAATAAGAATAATAATAATAATAATAATAATAATATTAATAATAATAATAATAAAAATGTATATGATAGTTTGGTAGTTGATGAACATGGCATGTGTATTGATTCATGATTTGATTCCCATTTATGTTGATGTTTAATTTTATTTTATTTTTATTTTTACATATAAACATATATATTTATATATGTAAATATATGTACATAATGTATAGACATTATTTGGTAGGTGATCCTGGCATGTGTCATTGTTTTATGATCTGATATATTCATTTATTAATTTGATGCTATTATTAGTAATTTTTAATATTCATACTATTTTTATTTATTTATTTATTTATTTATTCCGTCATCTATATTTTATCTGATTTATTTCTATTTTATTTTTATTTTATTTTTTCGATGCCACATAAGTGTTTTATTTTATTGCATGTAGTGTGCATATATTTTATACACCAAGTATAATACAAAATATTTTGATATTACTTTCATTTGATTTATGAGATATAACTTATCTGATTTATTTATTTATTTATTTATTTTTATTTCAAATTTTCAAGGTATCACATTCTACCCTCCTTAAAGAATGCTTCGTCCTCGAAGCATAAACCAAGACGAGAATTAAGTATGAAGATAAAGTATTACAAGTATATAAGATGTTACATCGTGTCCCCCTAAAAGAAAGGTTACGTCCTCGTAACCCAATATTTACCTTAGTTGAACAGTTCGGGATACCGTTTATGCATATCCTCTTCTGTCTCCCATGTTGCATTCTCGGTCAAATGGTTTGACCAAAGTACTTTTACCATCTTAACTTTCTTCTTCCTCGTCTCTCGGGTTTTGGTATCAAGGATCTCTACGGGTTTTTCTTCGTAGGATAACACCTCATCCATTTCAATCACCTAATAATATAAGGGTTAACTTATATTATTTCCAATTTACTTTGGTTCATGTTAAGTTTAGGGTCTCTTACCTCAGGATTGATGATATGTGACTCATCTCGAACGTACTTCTTTAATTGTGATACGTGAAAGACGTTATGTGCCTAGCACAAGTCTGTATGTTAAGGATGAAATCTAATCGTTGAAAAGTATCTTGTTTTAAAATCGTTTGTTACCTTATCCAACTCTAGGGGTAGAGCTAATCGATATGCCACTTTTCCCACCTTCTCTAGGATGTCGTAGGGTCCGATGAACCTCGGGCTTAGTTTCCCTTTCTTCCCGAACCTCATTACTCCCCTTGTAGGAGAGACTTTGAGTAGAACTTTCTCCCCTACCTCGAATTCAGCTGGCTTCCTCCCAAGATCGGCATATGATTTTTATCGGTCTTGGGCAGCCTTCATCCTCTCTTGGATGACTTTGACTTTCTCTATGGTATCTTGCAAGTATTGTGGTCCTAGAACCACCTGATCGACAATGTCACCCCAACATAAGGGACTTCTACACTTTTGACCGTATAGAGCTTCGTACGGGGCCATTCCGATGCTAGCATGGTAACTGTTATTGTACGAAAACTCTATTAAGTCTAGGTGCTAATCCCATGATCCTTGCAAATCAAGAACACGTGCCCTCAACATGTCTTCTAACGTTTGGATTGTTCTTTCGGTCTGCCCATCCGTGGTTGGATGAAAAGCAGTACTTAACTTCAATTTTGTCCCCATAGCCGTTTGTAATTCCTTCCAGAATTGAGATAAGAATCGTGAATCTCGATCTGATACGATGTCTTGAGGTACTCCGTGGTGTTTGACCACGTATTTGACATAGGCTTTGGCCAGCTTGTCCATGCTCCAAGTTTCATTCATGGGAATAAATCTTGCAGTTTTGGTTAATCGGTCAACGATTACCCAAATCTTATCTCTTTCGGATTTAGTTAAGGGTAACCCTCCAACAAAATCCATCGAGATGGAATCCCACTTCCATTTAGGTACTTCCAAGGGTTGCACAAGTCCCTTGGGTTTACATCTCTCTACTTTGACTTTTTGGCAATTCAAACATCAGGATACGAATTCAACTACTTCTCTCTTCATTCCCGGCCACCAAAAGTTCTTTTTGAGGTCTTTGTATAATTTGTCTCCCCCGGGATGTACTGAGTAGGGAGTGTTGTGTCCCTCCTCCATGATTTGTCTTTTAATATCTGCACACTTCAGAGGAACACACCACCTTCCCTTGTATCAGATTCTCCCATCTTCATGTGTCCTGAATGGTCCATTGACCCCATCTTTCATTCTTTCCTTGATTCTCTCGAGCTTCACATCTCTCGGTTGCCCATTCTTGATCTCCTCGAAGATAGATGCTGTAACGGTCATAGTACATAACTGTATTTCACTATCTACTTCGCCATATTGTTTTACTTCCAAGTTCAATCTTTGAAAGTCTCGGAACAGTTCTTCTGGTAATATCCATGTTGCTCGGCATGAGTGCTCAGATTTCCGGCTCAAAGCATCCGCCACCACATTAGCTTTTCCCTCGTGGTATTGGATTTCCAGGTCGTAATCACTTAGAAGTTCGAGCCATCTTCTTTGCCTCATGTTAAGCTCTTTTTGAGTGAATATGTACTTCAAGCTTTTGTGGTCAGTGTATATCTTACATTGTGCTCCGTATAGGTAATGTCTCCAGATTTTCAGTGCAAACACTACTGAAGCTAACTCCAAGTCATGAGTAGGATAATTAACTTCATGCACCTTCAATTGTCTTGATGCATAAGCCACCACTTTCCTATTTTGCATAAGCACACACCCCAACCCCTTCTTAGATGCATCGCTATAGATATCGAACCCCTCCGTCCCTGACAGTAATGTCAAGACCGGCGCGGTTGTGAGTCTTTTCTTCAACTCTTGAAATGCCGCTTCACAATCTTCATCCCAATAGAACTTGGTTGTCTTCTTCGTCAGGTTGGTTAACGGTCTTGCTATCTTGGAGAAATCTTTAACAAATCTCCGATAGTAACCGGCTAATCCTAAGAAACTTCTTACATCCGTGACCGAGGTAGGTTCACGCCACTCAATCACCGCCTCAATCTTGGATGGATCTACGGATACGCCCTCTTGGGTGATAATGTGACCCAAGAACGCTACCTGATCCTGCCAGAAGTCGCACTTTGAGAGTTTGGCATACAACTGGTTCTCTCTCAAAGTTTGCAATGTGAGTCTCAAGTGCTTCTCGTGATCCTCCGGGGTTTTTGAATAAACGAGGATATCATCAATGAATACCACTACAAAGGTATCAAGGTAAGGTCGGAATACACGGTTCATTAGATCCATGAATACCGCTGGTGCATTAGTTAAACCAAACGGCATCACAGTGAACTCGTAGTGTCCATACCTCGTGCGGAATGTTGTCTTTGGTACATCTTTCTCGGCTATTCTCACTTGATGGTAGCCAGAGCGCAAGTCTATCTTAGAGAACGTGCTAGCCCCTTTTAATTGATCAAACAAGTCGTCAATCCGGGGTAATGGATATTTGTTCTTGATAGATGCTTGATTCAACTCCCGGTAATCGATACATAGCCTTAGACTCCCATCTTTCTTTTTGACAAATAAGACCGGAGCACCCCAAGGTGAGACACTCGGCCTTATGTAACCCTTCTCTAATATCTCCTCCAGTTGCTCCTTCAGCTCTTGCATTTCTTTTGGTGCCATCTGGTAAGGTGCTTTTGAAATTGGTGCAGTTCCGGGCATCAACTCAATTGAGAATTCAACATCTCTCTCGGGCGGCATTCCCGGAATCTCCTCCGGAAATACGTCCGGAAATTTGTTGACTACAACAATTTGGTCAATGTTTGGCTCTTCTATATTCACCTCTTTCATCAAACACAAGTAGGTTTCATACCCCTTTCGAATATGTTGTCGTAATTGTCGCATAGTCATCAGCTTCATACTGGGCTTGGTTGTGATTGCTATGTAAGATATTCTCTTCCCATTTGGACCGTTCAAGATCACCTTCTGTTCATCACATAGGATCCTAGCTTTGTATTTCCCCAACCATTCCATGCCCAGTACTACGTCTATATCTTCTAAGTCAAATTGGATTAAGTCTCCAGGTAGGTTGGACTCACATATGAGTACAGAAATGTTGGAGTATACATTTCCACAAGTTACAAATTTATCTGAGGGAGTTCTTACATTCAAGTCTATTCTAGCTGTTGGTTCAATCTTTAATCTCTTAACGAAATTAGAAGATATGAAACTGTGAGAAGCACCAGAATCAAATAGAACATAAGCATGCTCAGAATTTACAAGGAATGTACCTGAGACCACATCATTGGCATTGGCTTGGGCTTGGTTCATTACCATGATTCGCCCTTGGTTCAGACGGTTGCCGTTATTTCCGCCATTGCCATTGTTCCCGCCATTTTCTTGGTTACCGCCATTATCGTGACTGCGATTATTCTCCCCTCCTCCTCGAGGGTTGCGGTTGTTGTTGATGGCGGCGGCATTGTTGTTGTTTTGCCCGCCATTAGGCCCGGTTCGGTTTCCATCATGATATTGCACCTGGTTCATGGTGCCCCATTGGTCTTTGACAGACACTCAAAGGATCGGTGCCCTAGCTTCCCGCAATTGAAACATTTGGTTAGGCTCCCATCGCACTTAGCCGCAGGGTGATCTCTCCCGCACTTCTTGAAGTAGAAGTGCCTATCTCTAGGAGCAGCTCTCCGATCGTTTTGCTGGTTTTGACCACGGAAATTTCTTCCGCTTTGGTCATCTCTCCTCTCCCTCCGTTCTTGTTGTTTTGTAGGTGGGTTCGCCCTAAACCTCTTTTCTCCCCGACCTCTCTCCTCATCTCCGTACCTCTTCATTTTCTGGTTTCTCTCTCTTTGTAACTGCTGAACACGATAGTGAACTGCAGCTCTATCATAGGCATCCGTCAGAGTTTGGCAACCCAAAACAACGACGGTTTTCTGTGTATCAAAGTTTAATCCACGAATAAACTTCTCGACTTTGGTGCTCTCATCAGGCACGATTGTCTTTGCAAATGGCACGAGGTCCAGGAATTTAGTGTGATATTCCTGGACACTCATGTCCAGTTGTTTCAAATGTATGAATTCCTCATGCATGGCGGCCTGGACGTGAGCAGGATAAAAACGTTTCCTCATGGCAATCTTGAAAGCTCCCCAATTGAAATTGGGTTGTTGACGTAGAGCTGGGCCTGATGAGACCCACCAGTTATCCCCATCTTTTTGTAAGTAATAAACAACAATGTCAACTTTTTGCTCTTCTGAACAGTTCACCGCGTCAAAGAGTTTGTCAAAGAGTCGGATCCAATCCTCGAGGATACGAGGATCTTCTTGCCCATGAAAGCTCGATGGGTTGTGAGATGCTACTCGTTTAGCAGCGTCATTTCCATTGTTCTGATTTTGGTGATGAACTGCGCCAATTGTTGGACGCTTTGTGCCAGCTCAGCATTGGTGGATGTATTATCAGGGTCTCTTCTCGGTGCCATGATATCTTAATAACACAATATATTCGTGTAAGAATTTCCCTATTTTGCTCTTAAGGATCCTATTTCAACTAAGGATTCCATAGGCTATACAACATGATAATATGAAAATCGTACCATACTATTATACACAGGATTCATAGTTCACATAAGACCACTTTTGCACATAATGTTTGTACATACCTTGGCCACTTTGGAATTTTGCCTTATGAGGCATTCCCTTCAACATTTAGGGTTCCCATTTCTCATATGGGCCCACAATTAGCACAATTATCACATACATGCAAGGAAAAGAATTACTCACAAGGTCCTCACCACATTCCTAATAGGCCATTTCCTAGCTATATTATTTCTTCTAGTTTAAAAAATATTTGAAAATTTCCCATTTGGAGGTACAATTTCAAAGGTTTCCTTCATGGAGTTCGAACGACGAAGTTTCAGCACAAGGAGAAATTCCCAGTTAGTTGGACGAGCGCAAGGCTCAATTAAGAACCAACTAGCTTAGACTGTTATCGTCTTGGTGACAGAACTTCTCCCTACGACCTATTACCTCATGTTCTAATCCCTTCGGAGAACCTAAGGGCTCTGATTAGTCTGATACCAACTTGTAACACCCCCATTTTTCCCACCCAAATAAAATCACATTTTTAAATGAAACCATCTTTATTATTAAATATATTTAGAATACAGCGGAAGTCTTTAAGGGAAAACAGGTGCATCACCGCCACACTCAACCTATACATGATTGAGTGCACAGGCTATCCATCATAAGTTCAAATACCAATGAAATGGGTCTTAGGACAAAGTTTATGAATTACAAATTTAAACAACGATAATTAATCAAACGTGTGCAACTAGCGGAACACTCGGGCAGCAAGTACATCAATCTTCATAATCATAATCATCTGTACAATAGAGCAAAGAGAAGAAAACAAAAGAGACAAAAATTAGCTTTAGAGCTAAGTAAGATTCCACCCGAACCCGTAAAATAGTATAATCTGGAAAATAGGTTTTGTATAGGTATATATATAGAAAATACCCTCTCATATCTCCAAAATAACTTCATGCCTCAAAATAATTTCTTCAATAGATAATGTCATTCCTCAATTCCTCCAAAAGTAATACTTTAGATTTCTTTTAAGAGTGGGCGAAACTCAAGATTCCTCGAGCCCAACGAGTCGTTGTTATTTACGACTCATCCCGGAATTCCGGCTCCCACCGACCACCAATTTGGAAGCTGAATTTCTACCTTAAGTGTGCGCACCCTCTAAAAGGGATTCCAAGCCCTCCGAGTAGTAAGAAACTCAAGTAGGCATGATGTTTTCTACCACCTACTCACAAGGGACATTGTCCAGGGGTAAATTAGGTAACTGCTACTACAACCACCAAAGGACATTTGGTCCTCAAATAAAAGCCCGGGATGTCTACCGGAGCATGTCATTGCCGGACTGGTTACCGACCCAAATAAATTTCACCAAAAGTAGTAAAATATATTTCACCAAATAAATCACCCACGCCTCGTGTTTCTCTCGAGACGTAAAAATATATTATGAAAAACTTTAAGTTTTTCCCAAAGTCATTCTTGTCACACTTTCCAAAAATATACTTTGTAATAAATATCAATCCACCAATATTCTTTAATAAAAAGAATATACATTTAATAATCCATAATAAATAATAATCCACCAATATCCATACATTCAAAATATTCATTCCATGTCAAACAATTAGTTTCCAATTCATAAATAGTTCACATAGTTCAGATATTGCATACATATAAATACGAGATAAAACATTTTTGGTTGACATAGAACTTACCTTAGATTGCGATAATCCCCTTAATAAAATCTCTAGCTTTGGTCTTCACTTGAATCCTCCTTCTAATATATATCAAAATTCTAAATCAATAACTACTCTTTTATTTTTGTTAGTTCCTATCTATCCAACCTTTAATTATTTTAATTTCATAATTCGTTCTTTAAATATAACTATTAAGTTAGATTCATAAACCTTATTTAAAATGTTAACTTCCAGCCCAACCTTATTATTTTCTTTAATCATACTAATCCCTTCATAATTTATTTTAATTTATTTGATTAATTAGTTAACTAGTCTAATTATATTAACTACATAATAATTTAGTTATTTCAAATTTAAATAATCAATTTCAGTTAAAAATTCAGTTTACATAATTTATATAATTTATTTAATAAACCTTTTGATAATAATTTGACGTAAGCAATAATTCGAAATAATAATTATTAATGATATTCTAATCTCAAAAACAACTTTAATTAGTTCAAAAGTTTATTTATACTAACTAACCCAATTAAATTAACTAATCCAATCCTCCAGTTTTATTTATTTGATTAACTAATTTAATTGAATCAACTTCATCAACTAAATAAGTTTAATTATATCAATATAGCTAAATACATTAATCTAATTTAATTAAGGCCAATATTCAAATTCTAATTTCTTTTTAATTTTCTATTTTTAATATAAAGTCCAAAAATATTACCACGCCCATAATTTAACTAATTTATCCATTAAACTAATTGATTTAGTTAAACTAGTCCAATGAAGTCAATTAACTAAATTATTAAGTACACATTACTTAATTAATTTGTTTATATTAATCAACTAATTTTTATGAGTTCAAATAGTTTAATAATTTATATGGAGTCCAAATCAATAATAATCAAGGATAATAATTATTAATTTAATCACACTAATTTAATTAGTCCACTAATTCAATAATTTATTTATTAAGTCCAAATATAGTCATTCATTTATGCTAGCTATCCCAACTTTATTTTTTTTTCTTATTTTATTTCAAACCTCATTTTAGTCCAGAATATTATTTCCAATCTTAGTGATTTTATTTATTTCATCATTATTATTCAAATTTTCTTATTTAATTACTTAACTAGTTTTATATGGCCCAATTAAATTAAATAGCTTAAGATTCGACTTTATAAATTTATAAACGTACATAACTATATTTTGGGTCTATATTTGACCTAGGTTGTCCAGATATTTATTTTAGAATTATTTCCCTTATTTATTCATTTAATTTCATATATCTATTAACCGGTTTAATTACAATTAAATATACTAATCATAATTTTTATTAAATATAAATGATCCCAAATGTCCTAGTTAGTCATATATTTAATCTAGTTTAATCCAATAATTATTTCATAATTTATTTCGTCGTTTAGTTAATTATTTACTAAATATGTACAAATTGGCCCAATTACAATTAAATCAATTAAAAATAGTTAAAAATATTATTTTTCAATTCTGGTTGGTCCAAATATGTATATTTATACTAGGTATTTAATTTATATTTTTCCAGATTTTATTTATTTCATTTACTATTTTATTTTTAATTGTTATTGAAAAATAGGCTGAACCCGCCCAAATACGCGACCCGGCCCAAGAAGACTGGGTTGTCTTCTTCCCCGCTATTCTCCAGGTCGCGATTCCGGCGACCGGAATTACGAAAACTTCGGCGAGCGATAACTTTACTTACAGGTAACGGTTTTTGACGATTCAAGTTGCAAAATGATCCTCACGTCGAGACGAAGCTCCTCCACCCCTATCGACGGCCAAATGTCCGCTTTTGCTGACGACCCGTTTGCACGGCTTGACACTCCGGCGACGTCTAAGCAACTCCGGTGACTACGAATCGGTCTAAAATTTATTGGGAAGTATTCCTAGACCTCTCACGACCCTCCTCTATCGTTTTTACGAAGTTTGATACGTAAAATAATATAGATATAAATTTTCCGGCGAGATTATGTATATATATGTATATGTATATATAGCTTCTATCTCTCCGATTTGCAGTGTTTGGGATGGCTAAGAGGGTGTATTTATAGGTCTAGATGGTCCTTATGGTTTATTTTATTTATTTGATAATTGTATGAATAATAATAATAATAATAATAATAATAATAATAATAATAATAATGTATATGATAGGTTGGTAGTTGATGAACATGGCATGTGTATTGATTCATGATTTGATTCCCATTTATGTTGATGTTTAATTTTATTTTATTTTTTTATTTTAATTTTTACATATAAATATATATATTTATATATGTAAATATATGTACATAATGTATATACATTATTTGGTAGGTGATCCTAGCATGTGTCATTTTTTTATGATCTGATATATTCATTTATTAATTTGATGCTATTATTAGTAATTTTTAATATTCTTACTATTTTTATTTATTTATTTATTTATTTATTCCGTCATCTATATTTTATCTGATTTATTTCTATTTTATTTTTATTTTATTTTTTCGATGCCACATAAGTGTTTAATTTTATTGCATGTAGCGTGCATATATTTTATACACCAAGTATAATACAAAATATTTTGATATTACTTTCATTTGATTTATGAGATATAACTTATCTGATTTATTTATTTATTTATTTATTTATTTATTTATTTTTATTTCAAATTTTCAAGGTATCACAACCTCTTTGTGGCATAAAAGGCTAGGACATATGAGCAATAAGGGTTTAGATGTCATGCGTAGGGCTGGTTATTTTGGTAAGGACTCTGTGACTTCTGTGCCTTTCTGTGAATCTTGTGTGTTAGGCAAGCAGCATAGAGTCAGCTTCCCTCCATCCTCTTACCCTAATCTGTCTAAGTGTTCGTCTGTGCTTGAATATGTTCATGTCGATGATTGGGGTCCTGCCAGTGTTCCTACCCACGGGGGTAGGAAATATTTCCTCTCTATTATTGATGACTTTTCTAGGAAGGTGTGGGTTTGCCTTTTAGAACACAAGTGTGATGTGTTTGTGAGGTTTAGGGAGTGGAAAACCCTAGTTGAAAACCAAACTGGCAGGAAGGTTAAAACCCGTAGGACCGATAACGGGTTAGAGTTGTGTAATAAGGAGATGGATAAGTTTTGTGTGGATTGTGGGATAAAAAGGCACAAAATTGTGCCTTATACTCCCCAACAGAATGGGATAGCAGAGAGAATGAATAGGTCTCTGTTGGATAAGGTTAGAAGCATGTTAGCTACCTCTGGTTTGTCTAAGAAATTCTGGGGTGCAGCAATTACTACTGCTGTCTATTTGGTTAATAGGTCCCCGTCTGTCCCTCTTGGTGGTAAGTGTCCTGAAGCCGTCTTTACAGGTAAGCCTCGTGATCTGTCTAACCTTCGGGTGTTTGGTTTTGCAGCGTATGCACATCAACAGGGTGACAAGTTGGATCCTAGGTCTAAGAAATGTGTCTTCCTAGGTTATCTAGAGGGGGTAAAGGGTTACAGGTTATGGGATAGGAACCGGGTAGGCTTTAAGGTGGTCCTTAGCAGAAATGTGGTGTTTAACGAAACTGATTTTCCTTGCTTGACCAAGTCTGTTTCTAATCCCGAGTCTAGGTCTGATAGTACTCCTAGTGAGGTGGAGTCTGTCCCTGCTGCTGCTAGTCCTTTATCTGTTGATCTTGTTATTACTGATGATCTTGTTATGCATGATTCTAATTCCTCTGAGCATGATAGTCCCACCACCTCGAGTGAGGTGGAGCATTTTCATGATACTGAGCATGATTTGCATGATATGAGTGCTGAATCTGATTTTCATGACAACAATAATTTGCATGAGTTGCATGTGGAGCCTAGTAGTGATAATTTGCATGATTGTCAACTTGCTAGAGATAGGAGTAGAAGGGCTATCAGGAGAACTGTTGATAGTATGCCTGATTATGCTTTCATTGTGCATGATACTTCTATGTTTGCATTTTTTGTGTTTGAATCCCTAGAGCTGAATGAACCCATAACCTACCGTGAAGCCTTAGGTTCCAAAGAGTCTCAGAAATGGATTAGTGCCATGAAAAGTGAGATGGACTCTTTGAGAGTGAACCACACTTGGACCTTTGTACCTAGACCCCCCAATTGTTTGGTAGTTGAGTGTGAGTGGTTGTTTAAGGTTAAGGAAGAACCTAGTGATGTTAGGTTTAAGGCTAGGTTGGTTGTGAAGGGGTTTACTCAAAAAGAGGGGGTAGATTATGCAGAAATCTTTGCTCCTGTTGTTAAATTCACCACTATTCGTATGATGCTTGCTTTAGTTGCTCACCATGACTCGGAAATGAAACAAATGGATGTAACTACTACATTTTTGCATGGTGAATTGGACAAAACGATTTATATGACCCAGCCTGAGGGCTTTGTGGATCCCAAGAGAAGTGAGCATGTTTGTTTGCTTAGGAAGACGTTGTATGGCCTGAAGCAATCCCCTAAGCAGTGGAACATCAAATTTGATAAATGCATGATATCTTTGAGGTTCCAAAAATCTGTTTGTGATCATTGCCTGTATTTCAAGAATACTTCTTCTGTGTCTGTATTTTTGTTACTCTATGTGGATGAAATGCTGATAATTAGTCCTTCTCTGAATGCTATTAAAGATGTGCAAAAATGTCTTTGTGCGAATTTTGCCATGAAAGACCTAGGTGATGTCAAGAGGATCCTAGACATAAACATTGTTAGGGATAGGAGTAAACGTACTCTTACTTTGAATCAGATTTCTTACATAGAAAAAGTTTTGAGTAAATTCAATATGTTATCTGCTTCTCCTGCTAATGTCCCTATGGCATCTCAGTTTGTGTTAAGTAAGGACCAGTCTCCCAAGACTGCTCCTGAAATTGAGAAAATGAAATTTGTGCCCTATTCCAGCGCAATAGGGTCGGTTATGTATCTTATGGTTAGCACTAGACCTGACATTGCTTATGCGGTTAGTTGCTTGAGTAGATATATGTCCAACTCTGGTTTGTCTCATTGGAATGCTCTTAAGTGGCTGCTTAGATATCTGATATCTACTGTGAAGCATGGTTTAATTTTCTCTAAATGTGCTAGTGGTATTGAATTGATTGGTTATGTTGATTCTAACTATGCAAATGATAGAGATAACAGGAAGTCGACCACTTCTTATGTTTTTACTTTGTGTGGCTCTTGCATAAGTTGGAAGTCTCAACTACAGCCTATTGTGGCCATTTCTACCACTGAATCTGAGCATGTTGCAGCCACAAAAGCGTTTAAGGAAGCCATCTGGCTCAAACGCCTTGTCTCCGAAATTGGGGTTCTCAAACAGGGAGTTACCATTTTCTCGGATAGCCAATCGACTATCCAACTTTGCAAAAATCCTGTATTTCATGATAGAACTAAGCATATTGATGTTAGGTTCCATTTCATACGTGATATTGTTGATGCAGGTGGAGTCAAGCTGTGCAAGATCCCGTCCGAGTTTAATCCTGCGGATATGGGTACCAAGTGTCTTTCTGCTGAGAAGCACTTGTCCTGTAAACGCGTGTTAAACTTTGATTGTGGATAACTGTGGGTTGCCTAATAAAGTGTTTGCCCGTTTTATCTATTGATATTCCGGGTGACCCGGCGATGATGAGTCTTGTCACAACCTTGTATTGTTACTCTACACCACCTACGACCAATAAGGTGGAGAATGTTGGAGGTATTGGTCCTACCAAGGCCTCCCTTCCACTTTATTTGTTGAGGCTTGCACCCTATTGTTTTACTCCCACTTTGGTACCTTTTACCTTGGTATATTACCTGATCAATAATATAACTGTTGACTCCTTAATTACCTGGATTTGGCCCCTTGTGATGTCCGCTGCAGTACCTGTCCCTTGTCTTGCTTTACCCGTGAGCTTTTATTTTTGTTCACCCGTGAGTGCCTAATGGGCAAGATGCCTATTATAAAGTCAACAATCCCTTGCCTTTGAGTGAGTAGCCTGCAATAGATACCTTCCTGAGAGCAGTGCTCTCCTTCTTCTCTTTCCCTTTGTGTGAGAACTGAGAAGGACTTAGTAGTGAGATAAAAACTGAGAGTGGTGTGCAAAAGCCTCCCCTAGAGTGGTGTGTGAGAGTGTGTAGAAAGACTTGAGCCGGAGACGGATATACGATCCTAACAGATGAGAACCTTGTGTTGCTTCAATTGGACACCGACGAGGAGTGCAGACGAATTGGGATCTCCCGCGACTCGCAGAGGCATTTGCGACATGGGAGGAGCTGGGCAGCAGAGTTTCATCCCAATGGATGTGAGATCAATGGAATGACGAAGGTTTTGGGCAGAGAACGAAACAGTAGGGTACTGAAGGGTATTTTGGATATTCTAAATGTAAAATTCATATTGATGGACTCGGGCCGGGTCGGGCCCGGGTCGGGCCCGGGCCGGGCCTAGGCCCGGTCGGGCCGCCGGGTAGTATGACATGGGCCCGGGATCGGCCCGAGGGTTGGACGGGTCCGGGCCGGGCCGGGCCACCCGCCCGGGTCACGGGTCGGGTTCGATTCGGGCCGGTTAAATTTTTTTTATATAATTTATATTTTATAGTTTATAGTTTTATACGAGTATTAAAAACAAATTTCAATTGCATTTATTTGAAATGAAATAGGAACTACATTTGAAAATTAAAACAAACTTTAACAGATAAACATTTTGAAAATTGTAATCAATCGGAACTTCCCGCACCTCCCGATCCTTTGGCTTTGTCACATGACTTCATATGCTTGATTGTCATTCCGAATCCGCCAGAAACCCCCATGCTACATTTTTTCTCGCACCATTTGCAAATTGCGTACCACATCCCGGTCTTCGGGTCCTTCTGCTTATCAAAATTATACCGTATAATGGCATCTTGATTTTCCATCTTAACTTCTTAAGTATAAACTATAAAGTAGATATATAAATAATAAATATAATATATTGGAGAATAAGAGAATTAGAGAGTAGAGAGTTAAGAATAGGATTTAGGAAGAATTGGAGAAGAGATATGAAAAAATGTTTAAGATTAGGAGTATTTATAGGTTTTTTTACCCCCCAACCCCCCCGGACCCCCCCTTTACCCCACCAAACGGCTATATAGCCGTTTGGGTTGTCCCCACCCCCACCCCCAACGGCTAGTAGCCCAAACCAAAAAAAAAAAATTAAAATTAGACCCGACCCGGCCGGGCCGGGTCACAATAATCCAGCATCGAGCCCGCCTCGCCCCTTCCCACCGGTTCGAGTCCATACCCGGTCCCGGACCGCCCGACCGGGCCGGTCCCGGGCCCGCACAGTACCGGGCCGAGCCGGGTCACGGGCCGGGTGGCCCGAACTGAATCCAACCCTATGTAAAAAGGTTACCAAAAAAGAAAACGTAAAGGAGTAAATGAAACGTCGCAAAAAGGAAAGTGTAAAGATTTAAATGGAACGGAGGAAGTAATATTTGTCTACTTCAAAACAAATACTATTGGTACAAAATACCAAGTTTGGAAATTGGATCCAAATGTGAATCTCACAAGGGGTAGTACTGTAGTAGTCGATTACCCTAATGATTTGAAAACCATACCAAACTAGGTAAAAGCTGAACCTCATATTACATCTATCTAGATATCTTAAAACTTTAACGAAAAAAGGTAAAATGATATTACCATTTTAACATTACAAAGATAATCACATTATCAAACTCATCACTCCCTAAGGTTAACATGTGGACTCGTGGAGCATATCCCCAGAATAAAACCCCGAGATTCTTATTTATACAATGTGGGTTTAACAATGGAAAGGTCAAAGACGATTTTTGCCACATTTTCATCAAAGTCACTTCACATACTATACTACTATATATACAACAATGCGTCTCAGATGTTATATTCTTTTGACACCCGTTCTTCCTAGCTTCTACTCAACTGGTGAATGAATGGATAAAACTGGTTGGTGGTATCATGGAAATCGACACATCAATTGACCCAAATTCAAGTTTACACGATTTGTTGTGCAATCACATGAATCTCTGGACTTGCCCATGTTCATGCCCAAAGTATGAACTGGATCCACCACCGAAATGAGAGACTCAGTCTAAAATCTTCTCTCCAGTTGAAAAGAGATTCCATACCACAGTTCCAACCAAGTAAAGCCCCACTGAAACCTTAAAAACATCATCCCAAGAACCTGAGACGTTAAGACAAAAGTCATGATTTATATCACGAATTGCATCTACAGCTTAATAAGGAACAATAAAGTAATGCCATCAATCAGTTTGGTTTCACATAATGTTTCCTAAAAGTGACACTACATGTGCTAATAACCCCCCTGCCATTCATTTGGTATATAATTAGTGGCAGTCTGGTGCAAATACTTTTTTAAACGTGGGGTGGGGTGAATATATTATCCGTTTTCTGCCAAGTTCAAAACCATACATGAGCTTTTGCATATGATCTCTACAACACTCCCACCCTACCTAACTAAGCCTCACCAATCACCATTACCTACCTACCTATATATGCCCCACAATCACCTCCACCTACAAAAACTTTTAAATTTCATTTTCAAAATTGAATTGGAGCACACTTGAACAAAGTTTCGCTTCGTGTACACACCTGATTACACATTGCCTTACACACTCAAGTGTAATTTTCTGTGCACCGACAATTACGCTTGGGTTTTAGTAAAGAGAAGTGTTTGTGACTTCAAAAAAAGAATTGTTTGTGCAGAGACAATCCAAAATCACAAACACTTCCCTTTACTAAATCCAAGCGTAATTGTTTGTGCGTAAACAATTACACTTGGGTGTGTAAGCCAGTGTATAACCCGGTGTGTACACGAAGCAAAACTCTGAATCCCAACATGTTGTAGTTTTCCTTAAGAAAAAGAATACACGGAACGAGGAAATGGAAAATATCATGTGTAACTAAATGGAAACCAGTCCATTTGGGATGACTTATTAAAGGGAACTTTAAAAGAAGAACCAATGTGATGCTTCTTGTTGAGAAAAGTGCTTTAAACCCGATAAAAAAAAGGACAGCCCGGTGCATGAAGGCCCCCGCAAGGCAAGGGTCAGGGGAACGGTCCTGCCACAAGGATGAATAAGCAGCCAGAGTTCCCTTGTCATTTTTTTTTACAAAAGGCTGCTCCCAAGACTTGAACTTTTTACCTCTCGGTCACACAACAACACCTAACCGGCGCGCCAAGACTCCCCTTCACTTTAAACACGATAAAAGTCAAAATTTAATTAATTACAGTTCAGCAATCCTGTTATTAGTTTCATAAGTAATCCTAAACTGGCATTATAACAGTCGAGGGTGGAACCATGTTGCAGGATGTATCCAGTAGCTGCAGTTCCAAAAACACCAGCTAGCACTCCAGCTGTATTTGATAGTCCTAGAAGCACCCCCTGCAAGTCAATCAAACCCATTTAAGAGGAATATGAAGCAATACTGAATTATCACATTTTAATAATACAAGCAATGGAGTATTTTGTAGAGTTACAAAACTACTACTCTATATTATTGATAAATAACTCTTCATTAAAAATTTCATAGGTCTTGAAGACTATTACAATGCTTAATCAGTACAATTATGGGATACCCTCTAAAATTTCTAATATACGGAGTAGAAATTACTGTTAATGAATTTCTAAAACTAAGACTATTGCTACTATACTGCAACACATAAGTAATATTAAGGTAATGTTAGTCACAGCCGATAGTGATCATTAATTATCCCATGAGACAATTTTGATGAACTACAGCTAACGATATACCACTCATTCACTTTTCAGCATATATGGTTGCACACACATTGAATGTGTGAGAATGAGAGTAAGGAGAAAGATGTGATACTCACTGAGTACCGAGGACCAATATCCTGATGGTTTGAGTATAATCCAGACTGTGAGAAAGCATCACTTCCCTATTTTGGAAAGGAAACTAATGAGAAATCAACAGTCAAGTAAAATTCACCCGCAAAAAGAGATTTTAGTCTGTGAATGAGATACTATCATTTTTATTTTAACTAAGGGTATCAAATTCAGTATAACTCTTTAAAAGGAAATGAAAACAAATAGTTAATTGATGCATTATTGAAATAACCAAAATAATCAGAAATCAAAGGCAACAACAAATTCATAACCATACACCAAAAATGGAAAAATATAAAATTTGAGAGTGACATGACCTAATAGTCGTGGCACCAAAACTGGAATATTTTCAGTTGCAAATATGATACTTGTTGAATGTCACAAACTCAGAACATTTCTCTTCACTATGAACCCCCCCCCCCCCCCCCCCCACCTACAATAATGAAAATTCCAAAACTATAGTAGCAAAGACAGGGTAGGGTGGATATCTGTCATCATTTTGTATCTCATCAATACCAGATAGGCACAAACCTGACTGCATGACATGCACAGAATTGCCATTGCAGGAGTTTCAGCATGACTCAGCTGAGTTAGAAAGAAAGCAGGGCCAAGAAACCCAATAGTCTGCATTGTCTGTATAATAAATGATTAAAGAATAAAATGTCAAAAGTTCAGGGACCAAAAACCAATTATGTGAATTCCTATGATAGGTAATACCTCATAGTATACAAATAAACTTGACAGGACTCTACAACAACAACAACATCCAAGCCTTAGTTCCCAAAAGATATTGGGGTCGGCTAACATGAATCGATACATGATATCACCACCAATAGGAAAAGAAAGAAAACAAAGATAAAAAAGATAATATAAAAAGAGATGGATATACATAAAAAGGATAAAATAAAAATGATACAAATAATGCATATATATAAGGGATAAAAACAAGGAAAAAAGATGATGGGAAAAGATGATACGAGATCACTCCTCCACACGAATACCCGCCCTCCACTTAGCTCTCTCCAAAGTCATGCCATCATCCAACCCCAGAAGAAGCATATCACTTCGAACTCCCCTAACCCACGTCTGTTTGGGTCTTCTTCTCCCTCTCTTCCTTGCCTCTTCTCCACACATCTCAACTCGTCTGACAGGTGCATCACTCGGTCTTCTACGCACATGACCAAATCACCATAGGCGCGACTCCCGCATCTTGTCTTCAATAGGTGCTACTCCCACCATTTGTCTGATTGTCTCATTCCTCACGCGATCCTTCCTCGTATGCCCACACATCCAACGCAGCATGCGCATCTCTGCCACACTCATCTTTTGAATGTGACATTGTTTCACTGCCCAACACTCTACGCCATACAGTAATGCAGGCCTAATTGTTGTCCTATAAAATTTACCCTTCAGTCTAGTCGGCATACCTCGATCGCTTAGAAATCCTGACGCACTCTTCCACTTCATCCACCTTGTTCTGATTCTATGAGATACATCTCCATCTAACTCACCGTCCTTCTGAATTATGGAGCCCAAGTAACGGAACATATCGCTGACTGGTATCTCCTTACCATCCAGAGTAATTCCGCTATTACCACTGTTTCTACCTCCGCCAAACTTGCACTCCATGTACTCTGTCTTGCTCCGACTTAGTTTGAAACCCTTGTTCTCCGATGTTTGTCGCCATACTTCCAACTTTGCTTTAAGACCTGATTACGTCTCATCAAACAATATAATATCGTCGGCAAACATCATGCACCACGTTATATCGTCTTGAATTGACTTCGTAAGTTCATCCATGACTATGGCAAATAAGAAAGGGCTCAGAGCTGATCCTTGGTGCAATCCGATAGTAATAGGGAACTCTTCAGTCCTCCCTACACTAGTACGGACACTTGTAGTACAATCCTCATACATATCCATGATGATGCTGATATAATTGCGTGATATGCCTTTTCTAGTTAAGGTCCCCCAAAGAACTTCTCGAGGTACCCTATCATATGCCTTTTCTAAGTCAATGAACACCAAATGCAGATCTTTATGAGCGTCTCTATACTTCTCCATAAGTTGCCGAAGAAGGTGAATGGTCTCAGTTGTTGAGCAACCAGGCATAAAACCGAATTGATTCTCTGAAATCTTCACAGTTCTTCGAAGTCTTTGCTCAATCACTCTCAGTAATTGAAATTATTCACATATGACATGTTGAGACAGATATCAGCAAATCCAAGGTAATAACAAAGTGAACATTCTTCTCCTTTCTTCTACGTCAACCGCAAAAATACATTTTTACTTTCTTAATCAGCATTCCAAATCAAAGTGAGAAAATAATTTTGGGATTGACGTAGTACTTCAAAGTTCAAATATGAACTAACAAAAATCTGGAGAACTAAGAAAGTAAGAAGAACTTTAATCCTCTCAATAATACAAGCAACAACATTACACCAGTGCCGCAAAGGCTACCACCTATGGTGGTAAGAGGGATTGGATGTACGCAGCCTTACCCCTATACTAAAGCACAGAGAAACTGTTTCTGAATGACCCATGATGAAAATCACATCTGAAATTGCATGGTCTGACTGCTGCTTCATAACAAAGAAGCGCAAACAGTTTACTGAGCCATTTTGCTTTATTCCATGATATTCCCAAGCCAAAAAAAATAGTGAATCTTTGGCTCCATTGGAAATGATGAAAAATAATCCTCTCAACAATATGTTTGCTAATGAATAGTTGGAGTCTAGTCGTCTATAAGCTATTAATCCCATTCAAAATCCTAGGAAAGAATTGATCCAAAACCCCAACAAACCTCTAAACCTTACACAAAAAATGAATAATATACCTTCCTCACTACAGTCACTGATACACCTTTCCTCACCAATGAATCTGCAATCCATCCTCCGACATTTGCAGAGACTGCCATGGTAAGCCATGGCAAAACAGCACAATTTCCTGATTCAGTAAGGTTAAATTTCAACACCTGCAGTTAAAATAAACAACAAAAAAGACTACATCATCACAATAACTGAAACAGTGGCAAATATTAATCTCACTTGTGGCATGTGAGCAACAAGACTTAATAATAGTTGCTGCATCTTACTCTACCATTAAATTTTGATAGCAGTTCAGTTTCTTACCCAATAACTACAAAGGAAACTGCTTTTGCAGCACTAGGAAACACCTAAATCGTGACTTCACTTAAAACGAAACAATATTTTATGAAAAGGCACAAGTCTATATGCAAGATACACAAGATATAATAACCACCGAAAAAGAAGACAACAAATGCTATTTGTATGTCTTGAGACTTAGTTGTGAAAACCAGTCTACAAGTATAATCAATCAAAGAATACAAATAACTACCTGGTGATAATACGTAGGCATCCATGTAAGGATAATAAAAGTTCCCCAATTGTGGCAGAAGTGAGACACTATCAAGGCCCAAACAGGTGGTTTTGATAAAATTAATTTCCATGGAATGGATTTTACAGGTTCTTTGGAAATGCTGTTGCTAAGAATGAGCTTCTTTTCTGAAGGCAGCAAATCAGGATCTTCGAGAGGGGAATTGTGTGACTGAAGAAAAGAAATAAATCAAATAAATAGAAGAATAAGACGAACACAGATTCTTACACATACATGCAGTATTGCTGTATGGAACCGTTGACAAGAAAATATGAGAAATGCAGTACTTCGCACAATGGCCAAAATAACCCAAGGACAAAGTAATACATCTACCATCTTATGCCACAGAGCGAACCAAACAGTGCCTAAAGAACCAAAGGAAAAGAAGACAGAAGGCCAGCCAAACTTATGGATTAACATTGGTGAAAATGCCAGGCCAGTTACAGATCCAAGATACATTCCACTGTACACTAGGGCCAGTGATCTGCTTCTTTCTGAGACTGGAACCCACTTTGAAAGAAGATTACTCATCGCTGGCATGGCAACACCCTGAAATAGCAAATACAATTAGCTCAGCAGAAAAAAAAAATCACATCAACTGTGGCTTGTTAAATTAGAAGCAACTAATGGAAACTTTTGGTGTAATGCAAGAGATTAAAAGAAAAAGAGATCACTGTTCAATAGCAAAAGCACAATGTGTGATTGATTATATTGCTACAATATTTTCAGTCTTTTTCAATGTATTAAACTGAAAATAACAGAAAAGAACAAACCTCACCAATCCCCATGAAAGCTCGGACAACAAGTAAGAAAGGTAACCCAAGATTTGCTGCAATTGGTGTGAGGACAGTAGCTATAGACCACCATACTACACCAAACCCCAAGACAAGCTTGCCACCAACAGTGTCAGCCCATATCCCCCCTGCAATCTAGGTTTATTATAAAAAGTATTTGTAAGGAAAAGTAATCCGCAATATCAGTACAACAAGAATAAATAAAAAATATCATTTAATAAACTGGTAGAAAAGAAGTAAATCAGAATCTCTTGGGTCCCCAAATGCATAAAGTGAACACCGTGGAGAAAAACAAATAGCACCATTTTATGGCCTTAAATGCAGTTACCATATATAATGATATGATCATTTTATTACCTGAGTTAAGAGATAGCCCCCAAAAAAGGAAGATTGAATCAAACCAACAGTTGTAGGACTCCAATGAAACTCTGCTGCCATTGGGAGTATGGCTATGCTCATGTTTACCTGCGAAACATAAATCTACTTGAATTTACTAACATAAATCTCCTAGTTTTTTTGCATCTATACTGAACATAAACATCAGCATGTAGTCCTTTGTCTACTCATAGTGAGGGGAAACACAGCCCTATCTTCTTAACAGAGTTATTTTGTACCAGAGTCCGCTGAATGAAAAAGTACTTCATTTTTGTTGTTTCTTTTTCTTTTTGTTGTTGTCACATCATATTTTGCTGCTGTTGTCATTTCTTTTTCTTGCACGTATCCACATGAATCCATAATGAAAAATGCATCAGAGTAAAGAGCAACATTTTATTACAATAAGATTACAAGATGTATTTTCTATCCGTTGTGAGTACATGATATTTTGTCTCTGGAAATGTCTGTGGAAAATGTGACCAAAAAATAAAAAATGTCACTTCTAGCTGCCATCATATTCAAAGAAGGTATATAAAACTGAGGAGGCCTATGGGAATGATTTCATATCTTAGGAAGATCATATCTAGGTTATTTTGAAGTCTCCCTAAACTAGATGTCAATTTTATCTAAAGATTGTTCTTGACAATGTTCTTTCCTCTAATATACGTAGTAGTTATTTAGACGCTCAAATTGAATAATTTAGAAAATAACTATCAGGGTGAGCAAGCTAGTAGTTTAAAAATAATTCAAAATAGCACACTTTGAACTAATCGTTTCCTATTTGTTAGGAGGAGCTGAGAAGGAAGGAAATGGTGGCTTACTCTATCCATATTGCAGAGTAGAAAGGCTGAGAAACACAGAAGCACGATAACCCAACGCTTGGGGAATCCCGATGTGCTCTCTCCATCACCGTTCGTCCAAATGCCGTCGCCTAAAGCACCCTCACGGTTGACGGATTCCTGCTCCGAGTCCGCAATGTCAAACTCTTTGGACTTGACATCCGCCCAGGCAATCCAGCCCGTCCTCCTGATCAATCCTCGTCTAATGCACCGCTCCTTTGAAAACGGAGCCCCAAACTCGAACTTGTGAGAGCGATAGCTTAACCTTCTCTTGGTAGATGTTGACTCGGTTGAACAGTGCCGCTCCGGAAGAGCGTGATAGTAGGAGAGAAGACAAGCTCTGGCCGTCATTGCTCGACTGCCAGCGAGAATTTCCTGCTGATTGATCCTTACTTAGTTATTGATTCTTCTCTTTCGCGCTCTCTGGTTTTGGAATAACCTACTGGATTCAGTTTCGAGATGTCAAATTCACAGCAGCGGGTACTGCCCAGGTGACAATGGATTCAATTGCTTAACTTCATCCATCATTTGCCTTCCCACACCAGCATCATCTACGCCGTTGCAACAAATAATCATATACTACTTCGTATATCAGTTTTAACTTTTTGATACAATTATCAATCATGTACTGAAATCTCCGTTTTTAAGGAACACTACGGTTACTACCGTAGGATTTATGTTTATTGCTTCTTGATCCAAAGTTTATCGTTTATTTGAGGATTAATCAAATTTGTGTCATTGATTTTGAGCTCTGATTTTGAGGAATGATGATTTGAAAAGAAAATAGAAAATTCTAATCTCAAATTTAAACCTCATTTTTTGTGTCATATTTGACTTTGTATCATATTTTCAAATTCAATTATGCTTTTGTACAAAAAGAACTTGTTATCACTCTCTTCTCACTCTTACAAATAAAGCAAAAATTGGAGAGTCTCTCACATTTAAATTTTACATAAAACCAGTGGCGGATCCAGGATACAAAGTTATTAATAAAGTATTAATGTAATAGTACAATAATTTTAACAAAATACATCACACTTGTTCGCGCCCAGTTTTAATCTTTTGGAAAAGATTCATTGCAATTTCATTTGTAACAATTTCAAATTTCAATAAAAGTTTTAACAAAATACATCACAATTAACTTTTGTAATACATTAATACATTTTATTTAACTACCTAAAGTAACATATTATTTATATTTAGTGTTTCTAACATATTAAATGCCATTTTGTAATTTATAATTTCTAAGTGTAAAACATTACATTAATAGATGGGTAACTATTTCGGAAACACACAAATTGAATTTAATCTAATTGATCTTTCTAAAATATTAAATCCGATTCATTTAAATAAATAACCCTATAATAAATTTTTAACATTATTATTAGTTTAGTAATACTATTTAGGAAGTTTTTACTTGGATTGTTTTCAATCCCAGACCAGATCAGACATGACTAAATAGACCAGACCAGACTTAAACAGACTAGACCGGGCTTAAATATACCATACCAGACTTTACTTGCGTAGTTATAAAATAAACAAAGACCAGAAATTTACCAGACCATATCACACTTAAACAGACTAGACCAGTAAATTGTAGTCCAAGTAAAAACATCCTTAATATTTATATTAGGGAAAAGGGACAAATAAGCTCACGTACTAATAAAAAAAGGTCAAATAAGTCCTTATTTAGAAGACTCTGTCCGACCGTCAAGATTTGGGACGGTTTCCGGTGGAATATTTTGATGAAATTTTTTGAGCATCTTATTCATTGAGTCTAGTTTTCTCATACCAAATTTTATCTAACAATTCAATCGAGAAGCCATTCAAATGAATTCTTGAAGATAACTGCGTTTTTAACTGCACCATTATCTTCAAGAATTCATGTGAATGTCTTCGCGATGGAAGTCTTAGCTGAAATTTGGTATGCATAAACTAGACTGAATGAATAAGATACTAAAAAAAATTCATCAGATAATTCCTTTGGGAACCGCCCCAAATGAGGACAACCAGACAGAGCCTCCTAAATAAGGATTTATTTGACATTTTTTTGTTAGTACGTGGGCTTATTTGCCCATTTTCCCTTTATATTAAATACGAAAAGTAACAATATATAAAGTCATAAAACAACTATACGGAGTACTAAACTAGCAAAGGGGCAACTACTTCTTTTTATTGGGAGCAATTCATTTTGTTTATTGGGGGCAACTACTTCTTTTTATTGGGGGCAATTACTTGGACCTTTAATTTTAATTAAAAACTTACAAAGGGTTAGTGGGATCTTATCGGCCCCATATGTGAGTAGATCCGCCCTTGCATAAAACTTGTTATCACTCTCTTCTCTTATTTGTATCCCTCCTCTTCAATACATTGTTAATGTCGATGGGAACTCTAATTTGAATGTGTTCTTTAATAGCCTTTTTAGTGTCCTTTCATCAATCTACTTGCTCTATTTATTGTCCTTTCCTGGATTTGCACCAGCTTTCCTAGATAGCTAACGATATCCATCACAACTTTCTTTGTTATAAAACTTAGAGGTAGTTTATAGATCTAAACCCAGGACTCAGCATGGTTCAGCTCCACCTTTAGAGGTCTGCCAATGCTTCAACACCCGTGATCACCACTAGATCTTGTTCAAAAGACCACGAGCCATCTTGAACCATTCGAGAAATGTCACTCTCATGGTAAAGTTGAATCACAAAGCACATATCACTAATTTATTATATGCTTACTCCCTTTCCAGGTCACCATACCATTGCCATTGTCTCAAAAAAAGTAATAGGGCATGCATATTTATTCGTAAGTACCCTAGCGATGGCAAAATATCACTGGAAGTTTCCTGCCCTGCCGCTTACATCTAGGGTACTTGGCTCAAACACTAGACCACTATTTTCTTCTTCCTCAATATACATCCTCTCATAAGCCTGATTTAGGCTCTCCATTATTAACAGCAAATCAAAGGAGAAAAACACGACGGAGCAACACCAAAGGAGATCAATCCGCAAAAAAAGAGTTCACACAGGAGCATAATAAACCTCAACATGAGAACCCCTTAGCCGGACGATAAAACCAAGAACAAAACTAAGAAAACAAGAGTGTTTGCAAAGAAACGAGGCTCCTTAAGCCTTTGTCCAAAATAGAGGCGGAAACCCCTGTCTGTCGAAGCCAAGAGGTCGCACACAAACTCCTTCAGGGCTATCGAGTGATGGTGGCTGGGATTGGAGCGTCGCCGCTACTAGGGTTCATTTAACTTCACACCCCACTCCTAGTCTTACCAGCTTAGTCTTACTTTAATAAGGAGTATGTTAATACATATGTAGTACTCCCCTGTTATTTTTTATTTATTTCTATGTGAGTATTGAATAATGAAGAAATATTATGACAGAATATGTAATAAATTAAAGTATAAGAAGGAACATGAAAAAGTAAATGTGAGAAAGAGGGAAAGACAGGGGAAATAGAAAAAGTATCAAAGATTATATGTAAAAGTGGCATAAAATTAAAAAAAAAGGAAAAATATAGATTTCTAAATAAATATAGAACAAAATAGTATATATTACGGGTAATATGATATCCCTTTATTTTTCAAAATAGTATTGTTAGTCCATTATCTATGGGATATTTATCGAATATTTGTTAAATCCAATAATATCCCATTTATGGGTATTTATTTGACGATTGCTTTAGTAAGACATCATGGTTGAGGCATAGTCGATAATTGTCAATGACAATTTTATTCTTATAATCAGTATATATTGTGACAAAAATAGTTTATAGTAAGTAGAAATGCTTGGAATTTCTAAATTACCCGTATCATAAATAAGTATCTAATCGTGATGCTACAATTAAGTTCCTTCATTTGTGGTAGGTGTTGGAGTTCAAGTCATTAAAGAGATGAATTTGCAAAGAAGGTGATCCTCTAACCCTAATGCTAGGAAAATGTTGATTTAGTGTAATTTACTTTGGTCTATATAGGTTTGGACTAATGACATCCAATTAGAATGTGTTTTATGGTATTTCTACAAGGCAAAGACGTGGTGGCCACTTAATCCCATTATACTTTTGACTTTTTACCATATGTCTCTAAAATGCTTTATAGGATGTGGCCATTTAGCTACATAGGTGTATTTGTGATTTTGCAACTTCTTCCGGGTGTTTATACCGTGGAACCGGTGCATGGTGAGCACCATGCACCATTTGTTATTTTTTATTTCTCTTTTTCTTAAAATTGTTAATATTTTTTTTATTTTTGATCCGATTTTTATAAAATTTATATCAAAATTTTTTATTTTTCATGATCTTTCAAATGAGATCAATATTGCCTATGTAATTTTAATTTTTTACATTCATACATTTTTTTGTAATATATTTTTATATGCATACACTTTTCTATAATATATTTTTTATCACTTTTATATGTTTTTAGAGGTTTTTAAGATATTGAGTTTGTTTATTTTGCTTCTAGCTTGGAGTTACATTTGATAATATACGAAGTTACATCATCTTATACTTCAGTTACAAGTTATTATGTGTGAGTTACATCTTGTTATGTGTGAGTTACATCTTGCTATACACGAGTTACATACTTTTATGCGCGAGTTACATGTAATTATGTGTGAGTTACATCTTGTTATACACGAGTTACATACTTTTATGCGCGAGTTACATGTAATTATGTGTGAGTTATATCTAATTATTTGTGATTTTTTACTTATCTTTATCTTCAACTAATTCAATTATAATTGAATTAATTTTTTTCTTTGCCAATTTAATACAAATTTTTATTAATCCACATAAAATAAGTATATTGTATTTCATATTCATACACTATTTTTCAAATGATAAAAATGAAAGATGTAGCAGGAGTTTATTTCATGGTGTAACTCACATACATTAAGATGTAACTCGCGTACAATAAGATGTAACTCGCGCAGAGGAAGATGTAACTTCATGATATATTATCAAATGTAACTTCAAAATAATTTATTAAAATTACATAAGCAATATTGGTCTCATTTGATAGATCATGAAAAATAAAAAAAAAATTGATATAAAATTTATAAAAATCAGATATCGAATAAAAAAGTTATTACAATTTTTAACAATAAAAGAAATAAAAAATAAAGGATGCTACATAAGCATCCTTTATTTTTAATGCTCCGATCCCAGAATATAAATTGGGCTTCTTCCGGTCTTGAGTGCTAAAGGTAATGATGTTAATTAATGCTCTATGATCATTGAATTTGGTTACCCCAAAGTAAGATTTATGATCTATCATCCAATATATTGCCACATAATAATGTCCCCGCTCCAAATTTAATATTCACGTGACCTCATCTACGAGTCTATTTTATTAAGAATAAAGTCGGGATAGGGATTATTATCCTTTAAGGGAAAAAGAAGGAAACCTCTTTACCAATAAGTACGGCCAAGCAAAGACCGATTACCAAAATCTATGAAATCCAGCACTCTTAAAATCTATCTTCCCGGAAACGTAATGAAAGAGGTGTCTAATGGAAGGCCGGAGAAGGATGGTAGCAACGAGCAAAGAGTCCAGATAACGGTTGCCGACCTCCGATTTGACAGCAAGCAAGGATTCCATCCTGATAGAGCTGAAAAGGTATCTATTTTAGGAACCGCTTGCTCGGCTGTACTGCTTATTGTGTTGTGTTTTTTCATCAGCGTCTCGATTGTGCTGCTTGTGGACTGCGTGAACAAGTCTATCTGTCCGGTACACGGTCACCGTAGTCTCCGGAAAACCGT